GTCCATGTGTGAAAAATGCAAAAAACGTCACTGTCACTGACGAGATCATCGTTGGAATACATTTTACTGTTTTGAAACACTAATGTGTTCAGCGAAGTCTTCGGAGTAAAAAAGTACCCCCATGTACAGGTTTTATGGGGTCTTGGAACGTTACAGGGTTAAATATAGTGCTAGCAAATTAAATTCCCTGGACTTTTGGCCTGGGTTGTCAGGCAGGTCCCACAAATTGTAATTAATAAAATGACCTAATTATGTGAAATTATTACATAAATATATACATGTAGAATTATACAATATATATATTTTCTTTTATAGCTATATATATATATATATTCAATATCATTCTACGTGTACTTTGATATTAATTTATATATTAAAATACAGTGTGTATATACATATACACACTTTAAATATAATGTAATTTTAAAGGGGGAGGGGAAGGGTCTGCTGCTGATTGGCTGGAATGTGTCTGCTGACTGTGAGAGTCAAAGTTTACTCAATGAGTCCGCGGCGAACCGTTCGGGACATCACTAGCTCCAGGTTGTAACTTAGCAACTACTGGAACTGATGGGTAAAAAAAATAAACAGAAGTAAATGTATAAAGTGCTTCTGTACATATCATCTAGAAGCAGTAGTGTTATAAATAACTCTACAAAATAACTGCAGCCAAAACGAGTAAAATTCAGCTTAACAAAAATTCAGTGTCCAAAGGTATGATAACCACCCCAAGTAGTCTCACAGCAACCTTTTGGGCAATGTATTGAGTGCAGTCATACGGCATTTAAAGGGTTATCCTGCCTGTCACGAGATTGGGCTATAGGCCCAGCCGAGACAGTGGGGAGAGTGTGGAAGTGACAGGGTTAATGACACCAGACCCCTGGTTACCTGTTGCTAGTCCCAGAGGGGAATTCAGGGGAAATCAGAGGGGGTTGGTCTGGTAGTTTAGTACCCACTCTATGCAATTCCTTGTATCCAGCTCTGGTGATGGCTATCTAGATGTTTTATGTTCTAGGCCTGGTGCCAGATCAAAGACCACAATCAAAGTCATCCCAAAGTAAAAAAAAAAAAAAAAAAACTCAACATATCAATACATCAAACACCAACTCATTCTTTTGGCATGACACCTCCCCCTTAAGATGGTGGACAGAAAAATGCAGCCACAGGTTGATTTATCTGTCTACCATTAACCCTCTAGTTGCCGAGACAGGCCATCTGCATTCCCATGCAAGCTGCCCTTTTTGTGTTGGACAGTGAAATTATACTGTTGGAGGATAAGGCTCCAACGGAGCAGCTTACCATTGTTACCGGATACTCTGTCCAGCCAATGCAGCGGGTTGTGATCAGGGATGACAGTAAAGTCTCGGCCGTACAGATATGGCTGTAATTTCTGCAAAGCCCATACAACAGCTAGACACTGCTTTTCTATTACTGCATAGACCACCTCCCTAGGTAACAGCTTCCTACTAAGGTAGAGGATAGGATGCTCTTCTCCTTTAGAGTTAACCTGGCTAAGCAAAGCTCCCAGCCCAAAGTTGGAAGCATCTGTCTGGACCACAAACCTCTTACTAAAATCTGGGGCCTGAAGGACTGGGAAGCTAGACAAGGCTGTCTTTGGCAGTGAAGGCTTTTTCACAGTCCTCAGTCCACGTTATCTGCTTGGATACTTTCTTTTTAGTTAAATCTGTGAGGGGTTTGGCTGTCTCACTGTAGTCTGGGACAAATCTGCGATAATACCCTGCTGTCCCCAAAAATGACATGACCTGTTTCTTGGTCTTAGGGACTGGCCAGGCCGTAATAAAGTCCACCTTACTGGGTTCAGGGCGAATAGACCCCCCTCCTACTCTGTGCCCCAGATACTGCACCTCTGTCATGCCTATCTGACACTTTTCTGGTTTGATGGTGAGCCCTGCCCCTCTTATTTGCTCCACTACTTTGCCCAAATGAACCAAGCGCTCCTCCCAAGTCTTGCTAAATACGGCAATGTCATCCAGGTATGCCACGGCGTATTCCTCATGGCTCTCCAATAATTGATTAACCAATCGCTGAAAAGTGGCCGGGGCATTTTTCATCCCAAAAGGCATCACACTGAACTCATACAACCCAAAAGGAGTGATAAAGGCTGACCGCTCTTGGGCTTCTGGAGTCAGAGGGATTTGCCAGTACCCTCGACTCAAATCCATAATAGTTAAATACTGAGCACCTGCTAGCTGATCAAGTAGTTAATCTTTCCTGGGCATGGGGTAAGCATCAACTGTCACTGCATTTAACCTTCTGTAGTCTACACAAAACCTGATGGATTTATCTTTCTTGGGAACCAGCACTACAGGAGAAGCCCAGGGGCTCTTTGATTTCCTAATTACCCCAAGCCCCAACATGTCTTCAATCTCCTTATGGATGTGGGCCCTTACCTCTGGGGATACCCGGTAGGCCACCTGTCGTAGTGGTGGTTGGTCATCAGTATCTACGTGATGCATGGCTAGTGTGGTTCATCCTGGCTGCCCGGTAAACGTGTCACTAAAGGGGCCTCGTACCTGATGTAGCTGCCTCTTCTGTTCAGATGCGAGCTCTGGGTTGATTTTTGTATCTTGTAAGGATTCCTGGCCTTTAGCATCCTGTACCAGATCCAGCAAAGGATCATTACCTAGCTCTTCCTCTGGTGAACTACATACATGAGTACCAAATTCTCTGGGTCATAATATTCCTTTAACATGTTAATGATACTGCCTCTCACCCTTTTCATCGAGGGCTACTACGTAGGTGGAGCTTCCAGGAAACTTACTGCCCTCTCCCCACCATGCTGCACAAGAAGGGACTGCTCCCTCTGGCAGAGCCTCAAGGGGTGGGATAGGGTCTACACCTTTTTCTGCCTGTTCTACCGCTGCAGCTCTGGCACACTGCTGACGTGTTACCACTGCCACCAGGGGTACACATCCCTGGCTTTCGCTTTCCTCCTCCCCCTTACTTTCAGATATCCCAGTCACATCACTACTCACCCCTATATTACATTTGGTAGACATCACTGGTTCAGTTACAGGTAGATATTTATCCACAACCTGCTCTCCCTCCCAGCAATCACAGTTCACAATGTCGCCCAAAGCTTTACACAATACCTTAGGTGGAGCAGTCAGCCCTTCTGGCTCACAAACAGTGTCCTCTGGAGCATAGTGACAGAGCATCCTGCCCAAATCATTCCCCAATAGAACATTAACAGAGATATCCTCCGAAACCCCCACTTCCCGCAATCCTTTGCCCGCACCCCAATCAAGGTACACACATGCCAGGGGCACAGCGTGGCGCACACCCCCAATTCCTTTGATGGACATGGTTCTTCCAGGGATTATGTCCTCCGCATTCACCACTTCAGGGCGCACCAGGTTGAATGAAGCTCCAGAATCTCAGTCCCATGGTCACTTGGTCACCCACAATTACACTCTGCAGATTATCCTCTTGTTTCCCCACGGACCCACCCACAAGCAATACTGATGGTGCCCCTCCACGGGATGGTGAGGGTATATTCCTAGGGGGGGGCAAGTCCTGCACAGATGACCAATCTGGTTGTATCGAAAACAATGGCGAGCATCTGACTCACTTGACATAGCCCCGGCTACACTGGCATTCAGCGGTGAAGTTCTCACTGCAGATCTTACAGGTGGTGATTGAACTGTAGCTTCTCTCCAGGTCGAAGTAGCAGCTGATAATTCCACGCCTGGATGTGGGTGCATGGATGTCGGCATAGTCATCTGCCAGTTCTGCAGCAGCCCTAGCATTTTTTGGCTTTCTTTCCAAAAGCCACTCGTACATTAGTGCTCCGGGTCTGCAAGAACTGCTCCAGGACCATTAAGGGCTTCATAGGTAGTAGCTTGTACTCCTGTTACCCATTGCCGGAACGTGGTTTCTAATTGTGCAACATATAGAATGCAGCTGGATGATGGGCATTGCTGCATACTCCTAAACTTTTTCCTGTAAGACTCAGGAGTAAGATTAAAAGTTTTTTGCAATGCAGATTTGATTGCCTCATAGTTATCAGTCTCTGGGGGAAGGGACACAAGCACATCCAAGGCTTTCCCTTTCAACTGTGGAGTTAAATATCTGCCCCACTGGTCTGAGGGTAGTTGATGCTGCCTGCATACTTTCTCAAAACCTTTTTAAAATACATCCAAATCTGTCCCTTCTTCGAGGGAAGGAAAATCATCCTTACGGAGCCTGCGTGTGCTGGACTCTGATGCATTGCTGTTCAGTGAGGACTGGAGGGTAAAATGCAGTTTAGCAAGTTCCAGCTCATGTCTCCTTTGCGCCTCCCTTTCTGACAATTCTCTTTCTGCAGCCTGCTATTGGATCATCACGTGCAGGGCTTCCTGCGGATTTGCAGCCATCAGTTGCCGAAATAAATCCGTTGAGCAAATGTCCTTAATGGTTTGAGGGGCACAACCACCAGGCATTCCAGTGAGCAACACTCCTGCAGTAGTAGGGAGCTCAGTAACCCTTTCAGTGTCTCTGGCTGGAAAACATGGCTGTCAGCCTCCACAAGGTCAACAATAAGTTGTGCTTTATTTTGGACTCTATAGTCCAGCACCCTCATTAATATATCTAAACTAGATGTTGCTCAGTGGGCAGACCTCTGGGGGGGGGATCAGAGGGGGTTGGTCTGGCAGTTTAGTACCCACTCTATGCAATTCCTTGTGTCCAGCTCTGGTGATGGCTATCTAGAGGTTTTATGGTCTAGGCCTGGTGCCAGATCAAAGACCACAATCAAAGTCATCCCAAAGTGTAAAAAAAAAAAAAAAAAAAAAAAACTCAACATATCAATCCATCAAACACCAACTCATGCTTCTGACATGACACTGCCGTTCTACCATACTCTAAGGGAGAAGCCGAGCTTTGTATCCGCTATTCAGCCCTCCGATCGTTTTCTAATCTAAGATTTGGCTGTATCTATAGTACGTAAAGTGCATCAGTGTAACTGACAACATGATACAGTTACGGAGGCATACTGAGCGTTATGGGTGGACTCTTTACAACAATGCCTAAATAGGCTTTCTAGCCAGTTTGAAAGGTCAGAGAAATATTGATATTTCTCTGACCTTTCAAACTGGCTAGAAAGCATTTAACTTTCATATAATATTATATTTAGGCATTTTTCATATTGCAGAGGGGGGAGAGAATTTGCTTTGTGAATTTTCTTTTTTTAATGTATATATTTTTATAATGTTACTCCAAACCTTGAAACATGCCCACTTATTAAGCTCTTTGGAGGTAGAGTGCAATCCTGGTTATATGCCTCGGCTTTCTCTTTAAGAGGAAAACATGACAGCAATATAACACTTTCAATGGCGCACAGCTCCACTGATTTCAGCGCTTAGCAGTTTGTCAAGAGACCACCTGTAACACTTGTCCTGATGAAAACTATATGGGGGCAGAAATGTTGACTTTTATATGGATTTAAAAAGAAAAAAAAAAAAAACTACTACATTTAATTTGAAAATTACTACAAAGACCTGCGGTCCTTTCTGCTTTATCTACATGATTTTGCCAGATCTGCACCGGGCATTAAGAATATAAACTAGGATCATCATCATGATCCTGTTACAAACAAACATTCCACACACTCCTCCCCTGTGCTGGAGATAATTGTCTGAGCACACAGACATAATTAAATTCTCTCAGGTACAAAAAAAACAATATAACAAAACGAAACCCCAAAACACATGGAAACCCTACAAAAGTCACATCTGATAGCCCCGATCTGGGTGACAAACATCAAAAATCAACAAAAATCACCCAGATCGATTCAGGGGTTCGGGATTTTCATGGAAGTCACATTTTTGACCGACCGTACACATGGTGCTCCTATACCCAAAACAGTTTCATGAAATCAGGGCTAACGGTCGGTCTAGTTTGGTAGTTTTGAATACCGAATGGGAGGCAAGTAAAAAACAGTTTATAAAGGTTCCTGGACTGGGGATGAGTACAGCACAAGGAAGAAAAATAGGGGTTTGTCACATGGAGACTTTAGTGTCCCTTTAAATTTGATACCCTGCACATGCAGACTCAGAGCCAACTCTTTTTTTTTTTTTTTACGTGTGTGTGTGTGTGTGTGTGTGTGTGTGTGTGTGTGTGTGTGTGTGTGTGTGTGTGTGTATAGACACACACACACTAATTCTGCACTATATGGGTACTTTAAATATTTATCAGTGTGTGTTTTGACGCGGTAGATCATTCCTGAAAATATAAGTGTGGGGAGGGGTTTAGATTAGTAGTGTTATCTCCCAACTGGTTCTCACCAAGCACTTACCAGTTTTCTCACTCTTTCAAGTACAAGGTCAATAATTTCCTTCCCAACAGTGTAGTGACCACGGGCATAGTTATTTGCTGCATCTTCCTTCCCAGTGATGAGCTGCTCAGGGTGAAAAAGCTGTCGATATGATCCATTGCGAACTTCATCTGGAGTGAAAAAAAAACAAAAAAAAAAAAACACAATTATGTTTTGCAAACAATGCATGTTAAAAAGAAAAATACAAAGGCTTAGATGGTTTTTTTCAACTACATAAATTCAAAAAAATCGACAGTAAAGAGTAAAATAAAAACAAAAAGAGTTTACTACCTTTTACAGACACCCATTTCAGACAGTTTTAAAGTAAGTTTCCATTATTTCCTGTATTTTTTGTAATATAGAAAGCTTTATTTTTTTTACACCACAAGTTTTGGGTTAAACTAGGTGTCCTATATTCTGAATGGCATCCCATGGGAGGGAGAGGAGGGTGGAGAGCACAGATCTCTGCCAGTCATTCCTTTTAATGTGGCCTTGTTGACTTTGGTAGAGGATCTTCAGGCCTGGTAGATATTAGAGAAGATGCTCTACTGCAGACAGTAAGGCTGTAGTCACAAGAGGAGAGTGGAGGAGGAATGGTGGATATAAGGCACCAATGTGGGAGATAGGAGATGTAACATTTGATTTTTTTCTTCTAAATTTAAAAACAAAAACTTTTCTCCTTAATATGGTGGCAGTACACAAATGGGTTGCACTTCCATATGCTGGGACAAGTAGCCAATAAGATATTAAAAAGGATTAAAATTGCTCATCCCACTCTCCCCTTATATTCCCCACAGTCCACTACTAACCAGTTAATACCAAAAGAAATATGGACTCCACAAATGCAAAATTAGTTTGGTATAAAGGGGGATATTGTACTGCCACCATATTAAGGAAAAAAAAAAATGATACAACAGCTTGGAGCACCTTATGCCCGAAGGCAGATTCTGAGTATTAGTAGAGATCTATCCTGTAGTACATTATAAATGTGTAAAAAGTAGACCAGCTGGCACCTCTGCAGATGTGGTCTGGAGATGCATTGGCCCGTTCTGCCCATGAAGTGGCCATAGCTCTAGTGGAGTGAGCTTTAATATATAGATATAGGAGATTGAAGACCACTATGAATATATAATAACCTGATGGTTCTAGAGACGACCACCTTGCCCTTAGATTTTCCATGGAATCCAATCAATAGGTGATCTGAAATCCTAAAAAAGGAGCCTACCTGCGTAGATACATTTGTAAGGACCCTTTAACATCCAATATGTGCAGCATGAATTCCAAAGGAGAAGATGCCGAGCTACAGAATGAAGGAAGAATAATGGGCTGGTTGATGCCCTTCAAAAAAATGACCTTCAGCAAGAAAGGTGGCTTGAGATATGACACTACCTTATATTGATGAAAAATGGGAAAGTCTTCATAGCAAGAGGGACTTTAATTTCTCCAATACTTTTTGCTGAAGTAGTAGCCACGTGGAAAATCAGTCTTGAGAAAAATACGTTTTAAAGGGACATCTTCCAGAGGCTCAAATGGAGATTCACATAGAGCTTGCAGAACTAACGACATATCCCAAGAAGGAACAAAAGACTTACAAGGAGGTCGGAGCAGCAAGATTGCTTTGAAGTGTCTTATCGATAACTCAGAAGCGAATTCTTTAATGAGGAAATGGCAGATAAATGCACCTTCAAAGCAGAGATACTGAGATCCGATACCCATTTTGAAGTAAATGGATAGTTGTATCAACCAAAGGGGAACTTTGTAGGCAGTTGTGGCCATGACACCAATGAAGGAACCTTTTCCAAATTAAATATATTCTCAAAGTTGATTTCCTAGAAGAACACATCAGAAGATCAAACCTGCTATCTTCAACGCCATGACTCTGAAGTATTAGCCGTGCAGCAGCCATGCTATCAATCTGACCATGCTCAAGGTGTTGAGGGGCAGTTGCCGGTTTTCTAAGAAGGGAAAGTCGATTGGTAGTTCCCAAAATGTTACCGCCATCATCCAAAAACCTACTTCTGTTGGATCAGTAAGGAATAATTGCCAACACGCAAGTCTCTTCTGACCCGATTTTCTGGATGATCCTTGGAATCAATTGATTGCCATCCAGTATAGAAAATGGGGGTGATTTTGACTGAAGTGAGGTGAATATCCTGACCTTGCAATTTATCTTTCTGACCATCAGATCCATGTCTGGAGCTTTGAATCTTCTGGTGAGATCTGAGAATAGGTCTGAATTTTAAAGGGACATCTTCCAGAGGCTCATTTGACATATGGGATTGGAAATGAGCACCCAACCATGTTGGGAGCAGTCTGTAGTCACAATAAGCCATTTTTGTTTGAATGAGACCTTTTGAAAGTAAGCTGGATTTTTTTTTCACCCTAATTAACTTCTGATTTTGGAAGAAAGCACAATTTCCAAATCTAGATGGTGGTCTTTTTTGACCACTTCTGTAGAATTTCCCCATTGCAGGAGTCTCATGGCAGCTCTTGACCACTTTACTGCCGGAATAGAGGATGTTAATGTCCCCAGGACACTCATAGCCCTTCGAATTGAACAGCTTGGTTCTTTTTGTAAAAAGGACAATTTCCTTTTTCTTTCTGGAGTCAGGTGTAATGAGAGAGTCCTTGAGTTTATGATGAATCCTAGAAATTGAGCTTCTGTTGTGGGACGAAGATGTGATATTTTTCCATTGATCACACAACCGTGAAGTTGTAAGAAATCTATAGTAGTCTGGACGTAAAGCATCAGGAGTGCTTTTGACTTTACCTTCAGAAGCCAATCATCCAGAAAAGGAATGATAGTAATACCTTTTTCCATTAAGGCTGCAGTAATGGGAGTGAGGATCTCTGAAAATTCTTGCAGCTGAAGTTCCAAAAAAAAAAAAAAAGGCAGGGCTTTGCATTGAAAACGGTGAAGTTTCCCTCTTGCTCTTATGATTAATCTTAAGAATGTTATTGATGCTGGGCCATAGGCACATGTAAATAAGTGGTTTGGTATGCACCTGAAATTGGGTGCAATGGGGTCCAGGAGTCAGTTCACTTAAAAAGGCTTCTATATATCCTGATAGTTAGGGAAAATACACAGCATTTGCATATGTGGGGTGTATGGCTTTAAATCTGCTAAAGGCAGAGTCAAATAATCTGCTAAAGGCAGAGTCAAATTTGCTACACACCAAAATACTCTACTTTTAACTTAAAGATGGAAACTGTAGAGAGGGTATAGGAAAACAGTATGAGGAACTGTTTCCTATTTTGGTGAAGGGGTTATTGCAGTTATAAAAATGTGTATATCTTTAAATCTGTGACTAATAAAGTAAAACAAGATATATGCCAAATATCACACGTGGTGACAAGAAATATATTAAAAACTTGGTATGAGTATACAGTTATGCTACTGTATAGATTGCCATATCACTTTAAATAATAAAAGATGTTAAAAAAGTGTTAAAAAATGATAAAAATATCGAATCAATAAGTAAAATTAGTACAAAGTTTATTGGGCAATATAAAAATACTAAAAATATATATTCAAATATTAACAATAATTAAAAAAAATATGAGTCAGGAACGTATTGCAAGAGTATTACCAGCACTTAGGCAGTCCTTGTATCAAATGAACCGCAGGGACCATCCAGGATGGATGTGGATACAGTGTTGCATTCACTGTAATCTCTGGCCGTCGGCTGGGAGGTTGGCGTGCGTCCCAGACCTCACTCTGAGTGATGCACGCTTGTCGGCCGATCGGTCCCCAGATCTTTGGTTATCACGCTCTCGGTAAGGAGGGATTGCTTGTTGATGG